CCCATAATTTTCTATCACCTTATTCAAATAGACCAGTGTTTTTCAAACTTGCCAACTTTAAAATGTGTAGACTTCAACTCCCAGAATTCCCCAGCCTGGCTGGGCAATTCTGGGAGTTGAAGACCATACATCTTAAAGTTGCCAAGATTGAAAAACACTGAAATAGACAGTGTCCCCAGGAAATCATTTGGGAGAGTGAAGAGAAACATAAACTTGTGAATCTTTCTATAAGAGTAATTGCTGAGATCTGTAAAAGTGAGTCAGGGGTGAACCAAAAGGGAACATCACTACATTATGGATTGGTAGGTATATGGAAAGTTACAAATTGTGTTATGGTTCTCTCCCCCACACCCTTCTCTCACCACCAAAGAAACGGTTCAAATACCAATTTGCAGCAATGAGAGTGACACTGCGCAAGGCCCTTTCTTTTGCTTGAATGTTGGCTGGAACCACTTGGGAGATATGCTGGAGTACCTAACAAGAAATGGTACTAATAAGAAAGATATATATTAAAAACCTGGTTCACTTATAGCATTAAGCCATAATCTGATTTGTAAGCTCATTTACTAAGGCTCTAGTTGTCTATGAATGCAATGGTATGTGGGAAAGATCTTGGGAGACTGGGCGAAGAGATGCTGCCAAGGGAACAGTCAGATAAGAGACAGCAGAGCCCACAGCTGGATAGTGGGTGGGGCAAGAGGCTCAGAAGGGACCTTCCCTAGTTTCTTGGGCTGTAAAGGAGATGGGGCAGGGGAGGGGGGAGAGAGAGAGAGAGAGAGAGAGAGAGAGATGTACTTTCAGGCTTGCAAGATTCTGTCAACGTGGCTTTACAGTAAAGTAGAATTACCCCATCTGGTTGTGATTCCTATCTGGTTTACCTCATGAGGCTGACAGTGAACCAGGTGCACAGGTTTATTGAACAACCATTGTTTAAAAACCCTAATAACTGGCTTAGCAGCATGGATGAATAGCCTGCCTTTGTTTCAGCTCTCCATGGGCAACTTGACCTGTCTTGCAAGCTTACTGAAACACATATAATACTTTTTTTAATTATTAAATTTTCTTCAGATAGAAATTGAATTCAAGCCATCACAAAACAGTCAGTGAAAAGAATAACAATGAAAATTTTGTGATATATTCTGAAAAGAATGGTACTTCAGAAAACTAATTTCCAGAATGACAGATGATTGGGTGGAGGTCCTCCTGAGAAGGTTGCACATAAAGGATGAACAAGGAAACCATACTTTCACAAATTTGCTTCATATGTCTGTTTTCTAATACTGGTTTTCTTTTTGGAGAGAGCCCAGTTCTATACTTTTGACATCTGTCTTCCAAGAGGATATAATTACTCTTTGACTGCTTTGTGTAACATATTGATATTATAACATAAGCACAATAGGGGAAGAAGCTATCATAATTTACCCTTTCTACCCCAACCCCCAGTTGGGCTTATGGTTTTTTGTTTTTTTTTTTGGTGCCTTTGAGTCAGTGTTGACTCCTGGCAACTGTCTGGACTAGTCTCTGCAGTTTTCTTGGCAAGGTTTTTGAACTGGTTTGCCATTGCCTCCTTCCTAGGGCTGAGAGAGAGTGATATATATTACCCAGGTCACCCAGTTAGTTTCATGCCCAAGGCGGGACTAGACTAGCCTGATGCCTTAACCACTACACCAAACTGGTGCTCTTCTATGATATCTATCCACCTTCTTTTCTGTAGGACCCTTTCAACTGCCTTTGATTTTCCAAACATCAGGGTCTTCTGACAAGTTTGGATTTACTTCATCTAACATTGAAGGATTTGTTTTTCTTGCTATCTAGGCCATAGGAAAACTGTGGCCATGACAAGGCATACCTTCGTTGTTTGTGCCCTTTAATCTTTTGTCTAGATCTGTCACAATCTTTCTCCCAGCTATGATAAAAATATGGCTACTAGGTACTTTAAAAATACAAACTTTTAAAAGTCTAGGAAGGTCAAGTCCGTTTCTACTTCAACTTCTTTGTCTATTTGCACTGGGTTTGATTGCTGTTGACATAATTTTGGTGATGTGTGTGTGTATTGTATATATACACACAGTAGATTGACTTTTATATCCTGTGCCTTAAATCTTCTTCACTTCAAGCCATCAAAATGGTATTAACAATATATCTGAGGTTGTTGATGTTTCTCTTAGAAATTTTAATTACCACAATATTTCTTCTTGTCCATCACATTTTATGATATATTCTGCAAATAAGTTAAATAAAGTGACAGCATATAAACCTGATGGGCTCCTTTCCCATTTGTGAACAATTGTTCCAAATATGCTCCACATTTTGTTCTATACACCCATGTTTTTAGGACTAAGCACACGGTATTGTGGTCTACGCAGTCAAAAACCTTAATATAGCCAGTAAAGCAAAAAATACTGTAGATATCTTTTTGGAACTCCCTTGTCTTTTCCATTATTCACTGAATGTTAGCAATGTGATTGCAGGTGTTCCTGCCTCTTCTGAATACACCTTGTACTGTACATCCAGCAGTTCTTGTTCTGTGTATTGTTGAAGTCTGCATGGCAAAATCTTGAGTATATCTTGCCAGCAGGTGAGATTAGTATATTTGTTTGACAGTTTGTGCAAACATTCAGAAAATAAGAGTAAAAATAAACAGAAATTTAGTTAAAGCAGTTACAGTTATCTAGGTTCAGAATAAGGGGAACATAGCCAAAGACTGGTCTTCCAGTTTTTTGTTATGCCTCCAGGCTGGAGCATTTGCAGGATAATTAATCCAACCTTAACTGAACTCATGGCAAAGGATTTGCTGGCTAACATTCAGAAGTCACAACGTTAGAAACTGGATTACGCTCTGTGCTAACATTTAAGACTTGCTAGGCCAGCAAATAAATGTTTAGGGATGGTGTGGAGATGTTGATTTTTATGCTCAGTGCTATCCTAAATTAGCTCCTCAGAAGTAAAGTCTCATTAAACCCACTGGGGCTTCTTCTCTAATGAGCTCAAGATTTTCATTATTATTCTATTGCTGATATTTCCAAACCAGCTTTCTCACCATCGTCTCCAAGACAGTGTGTGAAATTCCAAAACAGGCATTCTCTATCAGTTGAGAATGGTGATCTCAGATACCATGAAGTCAAGGTGTGATAAGCCGTACTATTAAGTTAACTTCAGGAAAGATTCTGGAAAACAGATATGCCTGGCAAATGTTTTGAATAGGGGTCTCAAAGACCCAGCTAGGAGATACACATGTAAAAGAAGAATCTTAGCAAACAATAACACAACTGTCATCCCATTGTGCTTTTCATTTAAAAGATGCATTAAGAAACTTGACCAATGAGTATCAGATGGGAAAACTATCATCATAAAAGATATTTCAGATATATTGTGGGTGAAGATAATAAGTACATAAAGCAGGTTTCTCAACCTCGGCAACTTTAAGATGTGTAGACTTCAACTCCCAGAATTCCCCAGCCTGGCTGGGGAATTCTGGGAATTGAAGTCCACACATCTTAAAACTGTCAAGGTTGAGAAACACTGATGTAGAGCCTGGCCCTATACATTTTTACTTAAAAGAAGTCCTATCTCTGTTCAAGAAGGCTTACTTCCTGATTTTGCCATCTCCAACTTAATGGTCTCTAGATGTAGGAGTAAAACTCCCAGAATCCCAAGCCAGTAAAGCCACCAGATTAGGAAGACGGTAGTATTTTAGGATTTACTTTATTTTCTTTTAGCCAACAGGGGGCTCTTGCATATTTCATGAAGCCAGTTTATTGTAAATGGAGGCATGCCAGTAAAAGAAACCACAAGATTTGCATATTATGGACTACATCCTTAATCACAGTGTACTGAAAGAAAAGGTAATAATGATAGTGAAGTTTATCTCCAAGTTATATATCCACTTATAATAATACGTTTCCTTAATAAAGGATAATGATTTTTAAGACCCTTATTTGAAAGGAACTTCCACTAAAAGTGACTGAAGGTCGTGCACAATATTAACAGCTGGGCAATACATGAAATTGATTGGTCCGCACACTGAAGAAGGGGCATAATCGCACATATGGGCTTACCAGAGAGTTTCACCTCAGAAACCACATGCTGCACCTCAGAACCACACAGGTCTTGTTTTCAGTGTTACTACAGGTTAATCATTTGGGCACATAAAGTACATGGACAATAAGCAATAGCAGGAAATACTTTGTTTTAAACTCTTGGAACACACCTGGTGTTGCATACACGTACAGTGGTGCTAGCTAACCTCGGTTTGCCTGATCTGGCAATGCTGCCGAGCCAGGACTATGTTAGACACTGTTATGGGGAAGGGAGAATGGAGCTAATTCAAAGAAAACTCTCTATGTCCATTCATTTTGCCTAATATGTTCTCTTCAGAAGGGCTGTGTTTCAAATAACTTCTTTTAAGAGTTTTGAGATTTTATTATAGGTGGATTGAACTACAACGTGTGTCAAAACGAAATGATTAAGCAGACATCCCCAGCTCTTCTCTGCTAACATTTGCCACCTCTCATTGCTTCTGTTTTTTTTAAAAAAAGACATATAATTGACCCATACAGTGTCTTTTTAAAAATATACTACTACAGTCAGAGGTCTTTTGAAAAAAGGAAACTACTACATGGAGGAGTTACTCTGATCTCTGCTTCCTTCTCCGCTCACCAGAATTTTGCATAAGAAAGAACCATTGAAGAAGACATATCTACTATTTTATTTTTTAGCACATTTTGATTGATATAAACTACTCAAATTGATGACTGTCAGCTTCTGCTTCCTTATTTAAGCTGCTACCTTTCCTCCCCCAACTTCAGAATTCAAAGATTTCTCAGTGTAGTTAAATAGAACAGGGACTTCCAAGAAGATCTCATCAGTAAAACTAAGAACAAAGTCTTTAGTTCCAAGTTGACATACTGCATGAATTCACTATTTTTCTGAACAGAGCAAACAGCATTGAAAAAATTAAGCAAATGTAAAAACCTACATTATGGTTAGAAATGACTTACCCTCAGACATCTGATGAACTAGGACAACACCAAATGTGAGGACAAGGTAAAAATTCATGTTTCCCATGTACCGGAGGTATTGAAAGTGATAGTGAGTGAATTGCTAAGGCTATTACCACCTCCTTCAGAGCTACAAAGGAAGTTTGCTGCCCCACCCCTAGCAAAGTGTAAACATTGACTAGAGCTCATTAGAAATTTTTGGAGTTTCCAGTAGGAAAGAAATCGTTATTATCTATTATATTATTATCTAGTACCTCATTGTCCATCTGGCAGCATCCTTCTCTGACCTACCAGCAGTCTTCTGCTTACACCATCAACTGCTTGCTATTCCTTTACACTGGAGATGCTAGGGATTGAATCTGACTTTTCTACATTCAGAACAAGTGTCCTACTAGATAGGGATTTCAAACATCAAGTCATGTCTACTTTGGCCTCTTAGTTGCTTTGCTCCAAAGCTCAGTTTACATTTAAGGTAGAGATTGCTGCAGTAGCTACCAAACTCTTGTGGATAGACCAAGCCAGGCCACAAATACCCATTCAGTTATCTGGACTAATGTAGTACTTTTGCTGTAGAGTTCTGGGGCCATTCTAACAAGCAGCTGGACACATTTGCTTTGTTGAAGCAAAATTCTTTGGGAACCAGATACTTGTGTAACTGAGTATTGGGTGGGGTGGGGGGATTCAATAAGAATTGTAGAACTATATGAGAAAAAATGAAAGAAATAAAACATTAAGATTGTTTATTTTCAATCTTTATAACTTTATATTTATAATACTAGGTCCAACTACTTGCCTAGTCAAAACATTTATTAACTGTTTGAATTATAATTGAATTAATAATTCAATTATTATAGATATAATTATAGATATATTAT